CAAAAGTTGACCTTTGACTCTCCCGGGAAGCAACCACACGCATATTTTCAGTTAAGTGCAACACAGTGCAATGTTGCCACAAAAAGGAACAGGTTAGAGATGAATCAATACTCTCTTCTCTGCCAGCATCAGCTACTATTGGAAGCGTTTGAAAAATCGCCTCCAAGAAGAACAACTTTGCCACCAAACGGTTTATAGTGTGGACCACCAAACGGAACATCCATAATATCACAAAAAGCTCTGTTTACTGCCTCAAAAGACAATCTGTGAACCATTGGGGCTTCATCCCATATTATAAGCGATGCATTAATGATCAATTGAGCCAATGGCGTACCTTTCTTGATATTACATGAAGAACCATGGTCGATTTCCAGTGGTATTTTAAACCGAGAGTGAGCTGTACTTGCATCAGGAAGTAATGTTGCTGCAATTCCTGAAGAAGCAACAACCAAAACTATTTTTCCAGCTTCTTTAAGTTGCGCAAGAATAGTTCTGTAGAGGAAAGTCTTGCCTGTTCCTCCATGACCATACAGAAAGTAGAATGTAGGCGAGTCTTCTGTTGGAGACATAACAGATTCCATTACACAATGAAAGCTTCAAGTTGCTTTCTGTTAAGATCACCAACCACAGGAGGTGGGGAATCCACAGCAGCTAAAGTACCAGGATGTGAATCAGTTCCAAACTGAAGCAAGGGATCAGTTTGTGGGTGATCATCTGTTGGCAAGGGAAGGTTAAAATGAGATAACGTGGCTGAATAAGCATTTAACATGTGCTGCAATTCCCACAACAATTTATTTTTGGGCAATTCAGGTGGTATGAGGTTGTTGTTGAAGCAAACGTCTCGTTGGCACCTATATGTGATGTCTTCGCAAAGCAATTCCCATGTCTGATTGAAAAGCTGCAGTGGGTTTGATAGTTCACAGAACATCAGCATGGACACAAAGAGGTATCGTAACAAGCGGCACATGCCCCATTGGCTGACTTCTTTAATCACAAGTAACCATTCATCATCATTAGACAAAAGACCAAGGCGCTGGCACGCATCTTGATATGTTCTACATGGGAAGCCATGGACTGTCCGAAGAGCTGCATAACTAACTGACCCACGAACTTTGGTAAGAAGTTGCCTGAGATAAAATGTATCACCACAACCTGGATGGATATAGACAATTCTTCCAATTGAGAACCCTCTTTTCCGCGGAGCCCATTTTTTTGTTTTCACATTCCATATATAACGATTCGGAGTCTCGGCATAAAGTAGGTCCCTTGCAGTTGGATCTCGTTGGTTAAGGTTAAACCACTGTGTCAATGTTGTTTCTGAAACAGAATCGCGGGCAAGTATTCGAGACAGCCGTTGTTTCTTCCTATAAGGAACATAATGTCTCCCTTCAAGATGAACGCACAAGCGCTGAACCGGCGGCGTTCGTTCATGAACAGGAAATTCAAAGATCCGCCACGCTGCCTCATATGAAGACAGACTTCTACAATCAAGAAACTGTTTAATTTCGTCCAATGGAGGGATATGGTTTGGGGTAGCAGAATCAGATACAGACAACCCAGGAGTTTCAGCAAGAACCATGGATCTATCAGGCCCTTTTGTAATGTACTTAAACAAATATTTAATCAACCGGCCTTGATGACAGACCTCGACATTGATATGAGCTTGAAACAGCACAAGTAAATTCCGATTATATGGAACGATAAACCGATTGTCTAGTATAGATGTACCTTTCACTGCTGTTATACCTGTATCGCGACGGCGATAGACTGTATAGCCAAACTGGTCCGTTGTAGTTTCTGAATTAAACGGTTTTGGAAAATACTTTGAACACGATCCTTCTTTCATGCAAACATTGGTCGGATTATCTTGACCACACGGACCATGCAGCATGAACTTTGTCACAGCATCATACCCAATTGGATCTAGTAATGGATCTGGCAGTTCAGCACTAACAGTTGCATCAATATCAGAAGCTTGTCGTAGCTTATTCTTTGCATCCAACCATAACAGTATATGAACATGGGGCAAACCCCTTTTCTGGAATTCGACGGTTTTGATACCTGGAATTATAAGGCAATGAATGTGTCATTTATGTTAGAGCACAAAACGTGAGGTAACTGAGGAAGTTTAGAGTGACAGGAATAGGAGAATTGATAACAGGCAATTGTAAAAGGAAGTAAGACATAAGGCAACCGAACAGACCTGCCACTGTTTGACCAAAGAAATGGCCTCGTGTTAATTCATCTTCCAGTGCATTCAGTTTCATGCGAAAGACCCTAGCAACAATCTCTGGTTTGAGTTCGCTGCGTGCACCACAGACAGCGCGAAAAGACTCTGTTATTTCTGGCCACTGGGAGTTGCACGTAAAGGTTATGAATAGGTCGGGGCTGCCATGATGGTGGACAACAGCCATTGCATCTAAGTACAGTTGCTTCATGTACCTAGGACTTCCAGTATGCGATGATGGCAGAACAACATGGCCAACAGCATCTCCTGTAACATCACCTCTGTTGAAAGCATCTGTAAGGCCATAGTATAGTTCAGAACGGAGGTTTTCTTGATGCGATCGTAAATAATAGAGTCGGTTTTGTTCAATTGTGGAATATGCATCAACCACGTAATGTTGAAGTGCCTTCCCACCTCGCATCAATGTCTGACCTTCGTCGTCTCTGTGCTGAAGCCGGTAAGCATAGTACTCTCTCTGAGTCACATGTTTCCTTTTCAATGTTTTGGGAGTATGAACAGGGTCATACGGTATGGTTACATGGAATCCATCTTCTCCGTATGGGAAAAGAACCGGAAAATGCAAAGCATCAAACTTCGGGTGTACACTTGTGATCCTCTTCAAGCCCTCTGACCGATGATCGATAATGATGTCTCGTTCTTCCTTATCAGGCAAGAAATCACCAGGAATGAGTCCAGCCAATTCTGAACCAGTTGGAAGTTCATATTGTCGAGATGTTGTGTCCCTTGCACCAACAATACGCAGTCTTAAATTGATTGATGCTGGATCATTCAATTCAGATCGAATTCGTCTAAAAGACTTAACTAATTCATTTGTCACGTCAAACAGCTTCATTAAACCAGAAACAATATCAGGACGCAGGGACCGCTCAGCAGAAGAGAAATTGGAGAGTCGATCTGCTAATTCGGTCTGCGGGTCAAAGACGTATAGCTGAGAATATTTAGGTCTCTGACCTGCAGCAGGAAGCAGAGATCCCATTCGATGATAATTTTCTCCGCAGATCACAAATGAATAAGGTCCTCGTGATCGTGTAACTCTCGGATCAAGGCGTGCTCCAAAAGATGTGAAAGAGAACGCAGCATTATAGGAGCGTATATGTTCCCTGAAGTGCGCTGCCATAGGACCGCCATTAACACCCAAGAGGTCTTCAAGGTACTGAGGAGTTTCCTGTAGGAATGGGAGGCGTACTCGACCCTTTTGACAACAAAGCGTGAAAACAGGAGCAAGAGATGCATGCCTGTTCAGCCGCTCTTCATACCAGAACCGTGCACCACAGTACTGGCATTCACAGTCAGGGAAACCATGATCGATAATCCGACTGAATCTTGCTTGTTGTGAAGGTGGTAGAGGTACATCAGCCAATGAACAATGACCATCCAACGCAACAGGAGGATGAGTTTGCGAGCTGGCTGTTAAGTCTTCAGGAGTTCTTAAGTCAAGTTCGGATGCGTCAAGTTCACCTTCTGAGTCAAGCAGTGGGTGCAAGCGTCCCCGTCTATCAAAGTTGCACACACGACGCCTCAGAGAACTTCTCGAAGGAGGTGTGGTAGGTACAAATTCAGTGGAAAGACCAATATGACGACGCTTCCTATTCGCTGAACGACCGGGTAGTAGGAGTTCAGCCTGTCTAGGAGTGGCCTAAGATCACACACTGACGTTAGGAAAAAAACAGGACCTGGAAAGTATAGCACAAGCGTAGCATGATATAGGAACACAATGGTAAATGTAGTAAGATAAAAGTAATAATTTGGCCAAACTAACCATGCCACGCATTCTGAACGGGTACAGTGGAATACAAACACTGGCAGATTTGCAGAGGAAGGCAGATACCAGGTAATAGTATAGCAGATGTAGCAGAGAATTTAATTCAATGGCCAACAGCAAAGACAGAATGAGCAAAAAGAAGCAGTAATGGGAAAGCAGTTATGGAAGAAGGCAGTCTACAGGTAAACGGTGTTTCCAGGGGGAAAGATCCTTCTCAAGAAAAAGTATAATAATACAACATGCACCATAGCAGGCTAGTCTAGAGAAGTGAGAAGTAATAAAGCCATCATTAGTGAACAGAGTAGTCAGAACAATAAATGCATGATGGCAATTAATAGAAGAGGAATAAGTTTATAATTTGGGTCTATGGAAGCTAGTAAACAAAGTCATAGTATTAGTGGACAATCTAAATATCTAGTTTCTGTGTGGCTGGTAGACACCATCTAAATACCCTGCAAGCGGAAAGGGTGTGCACAATGTGGTCCTCAAAGTGGCCATTTACAACAGACAATGGCCACCTGCGAATAAAGAGCAAAACAACTGGCTAACGAAGTAGATACAGGTGCGATGCGAATGCGGGTTAAACGGCAAAATTCCGCCCAACAAATGATGATACAAAGTAAACCAGTTCCTTAGCACAAACTAAAGATCAGTTGCAGAGTGGCGCGATACTATGCCACTTAAAGAAGGGCATGGCAAAATGTTGCTTTACGGTAACGACATAGAGCTGGTTAGAAAGCAGGTACGCAAGGGGTAATCTGGACAAAGAGGTAACTAATACAAGTAAAATGTCACAGCAGACCAGATTGGTAAAAGTGGTGCCAGTAATGGAACACCACAAGTTTGGCAAGGGCTGCAAATGTAGATACAAAAGGCAAAAGTACATAGTGCACTACTCACTAAAGAGTGTTTCCCTTTAAAAGTGACACAAAAGAAAGGGAGGGACAGCACTGCACAAACATGTTACATAGCACTCGCATGATGCGAAGCATGGTCAATCAGCAAACAGTTGCTTCTTAGCAGGTTCCTTAGCAGACGACTTTGGAGTTTTTGGCTTCCTCTTAGAGGCATCCACAGATGCTTCAATGGCCTTTGCAGACGGTGTCCTAATTCGCTTTGCCCTCCCAGGATTAGTTTTCCCCACTGGAAGTAGCGGAACTTCTTGGCCAGCAAGAAGAGGAGAAGGCAAAGCAGAGTCAACGGTAGGAACAGGACAAGTCGAAGAGTTTTCAATAGCCTGTTCTTGCAGTGGAAGTTCAACGTCCAAGTCTTGCAATTCCAAAGGGACAACAGGTTCGTCTTCATCAGAAGAAACAACCAAGCGACGGCGACGTACAGGTGCAGGATGTATAGACACAGATTGCCTAGAAAAGGAGACAAAGGAAGTAGGTCTGTAAAAACACATCTATATGGAAGAACATGCACATTCCTATGCAATGCGGGAGCAACTTGCAAAGCACGAATAAGATAATGACTAACAACAAAGAACCCACTGCACAAGGAATCTCCCTACAGTAAAGACGATTATTACTTCAACTGTGGGAAAACAATTGATTTGAAGCTGACCAAGTAAGCAGAAGCCACAACTATTTGTTTATTTTGGTCTGTATAAACAAAAAAGGGAGAACATTCGTAGATAATTAGTATGGCCACTGAAAGGTAACATTGTATGTCTGCACATTGAGAACACGTGTAAGTTAGCGAAAGGCGAAGAAAGGGATACAAAAGGCCATCCATCGGCGATTGTATTTTATGGTGACAACTTAAAACCATGTATAAAAGCAGAAGACCAAATGTAATTGAAAAGCATTGGTTGCAGTTCTTTTTGCGTCAAAATAAGTATTCTGTGCAGACTGGAGCCCTTTTGTTATCAGGTTTAAAAGAGCACCAAAAGCATGCAAACTGGAATTCTAGGGAGCAGACAACACTGGCAAGCGAATAATTAGAACGACACATACTGTGACAAAGGCTGAAGTGTTGTTGTCTGCAAATTGACACCGAGGCCATTAAGATTTCCAGAGTCAGGATTCGCCGATTCGGTTGGCAAAGGATGTCCAGTAGGGATCTCAAGGGACGATATTGGAACATCGGTTTTTGCAAGAGTAACTGCAGGACGACGCGCAACACTTGGACTTCCAGTTTTCCTGCAAAAGTCCAACAAAGCTGTATAAGGTAAGGACAGTAAACCGAAGTACAATGCAGGATACTATGATAAGTAAAAGAATTCCAAGAGACAATAGTGGCGTATGCACAGTTAACAACCAACCAAACGAAATAACAATGGCGGGCACATTTGAAACGAAGGGTGCAAAAAAAACCAAAGTCAATTGGCAATATGCAAACAGAAGCAAGGTAAACAGGAAACTAAGACCTAATGTAGGATATGGTAAATTTGGTACAAGAAACATAGTAAGTAATAAAGGGCAGAGAGACTTCTTCTTAGCAGATGGTTTCTTCGGCTTCGCTTTCTGCGAACTAATGGTCTTGTTCTGCACAGTAGCATCTGTAGTGTCCGAAGCAAGTTCCCTGATACAGAGATGCTCAGGAAGGAAAGAAAGAGACACGTAAAGCTAGTAAGTAAGTTAACAGGAGGGAAGGTACTGTGGGGATCGCTGTGTTGCAGTTTCTGGGGGCACTTCCTCACTTCTAGGGCTAAGAAGCAGTTAAAACGGGTGTGCAAGAGTCATTGACAAATATAAGCAGGCGTTAAGTCGAACGCTTGAGGTAATACAGGAAAAGGCAAGAAACTGACCGCGCATAGGAAACAATCTCAGTACGACCAAGTTCAGGAGAAGGAGCTACGACACTGTTGTTGTAAAGAAACATGTCAGAAAACGACATCAGAACGTGTATAAGCAGCACTGAGCTAGCAAAGCAGACAACAAACAGACAACCTTCCCAATGCAGCAGATGAGGGTGAGGATACAGCAGCGATGCGCCTACTGGAACTTGACGGTAAACAACGCATGGAGAAGAAATGTCAACACATAGGGAAAGAGTTCGACAGCGTCCAAAGAAGAGCTTGTTAATTTTGTAAAGCAAAGTGGGCTGTACAAAAACCTGTTGTAGGGGCGACGTGGAGGAGTAGAAAATGCAAGCTGAGAACTCCCACTGCAAATTTAAGAAGGAACCCGAGTTCAAGACAATCAACAACCAGCGAAAAGAGGACATGTAAAATTGAAGCATTACCTTGGTGAAGCAATAGAAGAACCATGGTCTACCGAAGCGGTCTGAATTGTTGGAACAACATATGGAGACGTAAGAGGCATCAAGTGAGGACTGCAACGGAAAGTAGCGATTAGTAATGAACAAAAGGGGACTGTTCCACAAACTGGAGAACACGGAAAAACCTGTTAGGAGGTGGTGTATGGGGCATAGCATTTCTTGACCGGCGACTAAGAGTTGGTGAGCAGGAATTTGGCTGTTCTTGCTCATTGACAGCAAGGACCGTGAACTCTGGCGGGCCACGAGCCCCATATTCCGGTTTTGGAAGCTGGACGTCAAAAGTAAAGTCTCGTCCTTCAAGAGCCAGAAGTTCTTGTGGAAGAACATTGCGCTGGTAAGGAAACCTAGTAGAGAGATCGTTAGCAGTCAAGCCCACAAGAAGGTCAGCGGCCCTACCCAGCAGAACAAAAGCTGCTGATCCAGTGTTGTCATCAACTGTTACCCGAAGTTTGTAACTGCAAAAAACGTGTACAGGAGCGTATGAGGACACGAGAAATAGGCAAAAGGTATGGGGGCAAGAATGAAGAAAGGAATTACAAGTTCTGTGTTTGTTGAGGCACCAAACGACGGTGGTCATCACACCATTTGTCAACACCATCATAATCTATGGCTGCTTTGGAACAAAGCGCACAACCCAAGTAGTACCACTGCATAGAAGAATCAACCGAAACGATCCGACCAGAGCAATGGTAACGCGTAGACTAAAAAAAAAGTAAACGGAAGAAATGATTAGACGGACAAACAAATGAAGTGAAAGGAACAAAAGCAGGTAAGTTGGAGAGCAAAAGGGGAAAAAACATACATCGGCAACAGGTGGAAAACACAAAGCAAGCAGTTGTGACACAGTCTTCGTACATTCAGCTTCGAAGGCCGCTGCCTCAGTAGGAGTTGCAAACCTCGGAGGGTAATATTGACATGTATTAGTGCTGGCAAAGAACCTAACGGAAGCGAAAGCAAGGAACGCAACAAATTAGCAGTAACAAAAAAGACAGCTGATGATGCGAAGGGAAAAACAAATATGAGGAGGATAAGAAAAGACATACACAGATTGGACCAGGTGAGCCATTTCAGAAACAGGGTTGAGAACACAACGTGTGCCTGGAGTACTGGTCAGAGAGTAACCTCCTACAAAAGGGGTGAAGGTAATAAGGAAAGGAGGAAGGGAAATGAAACGGAGAATAGTGCAGCGGTAAGGTACATGCAGACCTTTCGTAGCGCCAGTGACTCGCAGTGAGCAAACAGCAAGCATGACTGGCCCAGAACGACCAAGGACAGCCAGTTCCTGACCATTGAGATTCCGAGCTATATCACTCCACAGACTGATATCAAGAAACATGTGACTGGGCAAAAAAACAGCGAAAGTAAGTAACAAATGTAGCACAGTCGATAAAGCAGTGGTGTGCATGTGTAACATACTTTTCATTCTGAAGCACCAAATCACTCCGCACAGTGGTACCGAATGAAGTAACAGTGCTAGAAACGCCTGTGATGCTAACAACAGCGCCAACGACATCTGACAGAGGCACAAGCAAGAGAAGAGAGGAAAGGGTGGTAAGCAGTACAGTGCAGAACGGACAGCAAGAGACGTAAAGAATACAGGACAAGACCTGTCAGATAGACCGATGAACGTATGCGGGAATGAAGCGAGCTGAACGGGGTAAATTCGAACGCATCTGGCCAGAATGAAGGTGACGAACGGGTCACGTCTTCGAACTGTGTAGCAGCAGAGAGGACGATGGTCAACTTATGAGAGCAAGAACGATACGAAGGGGCCGGTGGCTTGACGCGGAAGTTGCTCACGAAATAAACGCTACCCAACTGCAGAAGCGGAGAGAAATGGCGCGTGAGTTCCGAAGGAGCCGTGCCCTGAATCAAAGTACCCTGGCCAGAAAAGAAACATCAGAGGGCTGTAAAAAGAAGGGAGGCGCAAGATTGCATGGCAAAATAAAGAAGAAAGCAGCGCTGACCTCCTCATCATTCCACAGAGTGCAGTAGTTGAAGATTAATGTAGGATTCTTCAGCCCATAAGACCCCCACGCATGAAGGAGGCGCAGCTTCAGAAGAGTCTGAAGGCCATCGGAGTCGCTGAGGTCAAGAAGCAATTTATGGGTCACCATGGAAGAGCAATAGAAGAAAGCAAGCGAGCAAGCAAGATAGAAGAGGGAAAGTCTGTGAGGAGCATAAATGAAAGGTAGCAAAGCAAAAGAAGACTTTTGTGGGGAAAGGAACAGATGAGGAAGCGCCAGACCTGTCATTTCTCAGGGGAAAGGTGAGGAGTTCCGAAAACCGATAAGTTGCAGAGAGAAGAGAAGTCGCTGGCGAAGCAACCCAGGCTAAAAGCAGAGAGGAAAGAGAGAGAAAGCAATGATTACAGACGAGAACGCAGTAAAAATGTGTCAAAGAAAAACAGTGTTAAGACGTGACTCTATGAAACAGTAAACTTGTAACTTGTTCTTTTAATGAGATAATAGCTCTGTGTTTAATCAGCAAAGTGAAGGGTAGAGTTGTGCACGTTACCTGGTACACTGTATATATACTTACCCAATTCGTCAAAAAAAAAAAAGTATATATACTTACCCAGTCGTCAACTATCAAGAACTAATTCGAATTATTGAGAGAAGATTATGTTGGATCTTATACCGCACTCTAACACAGACAACTTGAACAATCTCACTGTTCTGGTTTGCGAGATGGGTTCATGATTACAGGAGGGAAAAAGGATTTATTAGAGCAAAAGTTAAACGTGGTCTCTAGTGGTGTTACTTTTGGATGAGAATGGTGACACAGACAACTAGAGCTAGAGCTAGGTAATTAAGTGTATTATTATTATACTTTGTTTTGTTGCGTTTGAGATGGGAAGTGAGACTGTGAGAGTAGACCAGTCGCTACCACCAACTCAAATCATTGTTGAGAAATGAGAACTTGGGATGAGAATGATGAACTGTAAAACTATGTATGCATATCCCTTTAGAACAAAAGACTTTTGTTCTGAAAGTGAGTTATGTGACCAAAGCCTGGTCCCCGTTTATTTTCTAGCCAACTCTCCCCCACTTTGTTATAAGCTTATGCTTGTGTCACAATGATCTTTTTTGGAAAATTACTCTTGGGTTCCTGAATTTTTTTTATGAAAACCCTCCCGTCTTTGTTTCTAGGATAGTTCGGAATAAGTAACCTAGCTATCAGCTAGGAAAGCTTCGAACGTTTTACTCAAATCATGACCGTAGAGAAAGGGAGCGTTAGATATTGGTCGTCATGGCAACTTTGAAGGCTTGAGAGTATCAAATATCAGGAAACTCCAATTTTTGTATGGTGCATTTTGAGAATACATGTATGATTGTATTGCGAAACTATGGCAGAACTACTCAATCTGGATAGGAGCGTGATCTTTCCTTGTGCTTAGTTTGGATGCATAATTTATGTATTGTTTTCTTGGTACATGAATTATTGATAAACATCGTTTACAGAATCCAAGACGGCAAATTAGGCTATCTCGAGCTCATTGATTACCGCTGAGCTAGAAGGTAATTTGGTATAGCTCTATTATTGTTGTTAACCCCATACATCATACATTGTGCACGGTATTAAGTCTATGTTTGACCCAACTTTTAGAATTGTTTTTATGTTTTAAAATTAAGTAAGCACGATCTATAACTTCCAATTTTTATGGGTAATAAAAATTGCATCAAACCAGGAGATGCATAAACCGCCACCTCCTCTAAAAAAACCCTCAATTTTTGAATAAGATGAAAAAAGTTTTTTATATAACATAAAAGTAGAAGCGGCGATTTGGGGTTTATTCAAAATATATTTTCTGAAAATACAAGATTATTTTATCATTTTTTAGAAAACATAATTTTTTATTCATTTTTACATATTTTTAAAAATAAAATAATTATTTAATATAAGAAATCTAACAAATCCATTTTGAATACTTTTTTTTTAATTATATTTTATGTTAAAATCATTTGTAGTCATTTTACATGACTTCTTATGTTAACTAGTAATTCTAATAATTATTTAATCAAACACTCAATTATTTTTTGTAGTAATTATTTATTTAAAAGCACCCACCTAAAACTATTTTCCCAAAAACTATTTTCCCAAAAGTATACTAGCCAATTCACAACATTGCAAAGACTTTGGTTATATCTGCTATATTTTTCTCAGATAGTAAAAGATTATGGTCTTCGATAATTACCGGAAAAAAAGAGTATGGTCTAAATCATTAAAATTTCTTTTAATTCCATGCTAATTTTATAGGCTTATCAATATTATATATAGTGTGTGTGTATATAAAAGCTTATCTTGTTTGTTAGATAGTAAAGGAGTTTTGATCGAAGGCACATACAATTGTTTTGGCATGGGAAATGTGGGCGCATGTTGTCACCAACCTTGCTTTGGTTACGCAACTGATCTTCTTCTTCTTCTTCTTCTTCTTAGTTTGGCAAATAATTTTCAGGGGTTGATTTGTTTGTTCCGTCTCTTCCTGATCCTGCCCCCGTTTGGTTCTCACTAGGGCCCCTCTGCACTTTTGTCTTTTCATGTTTAAAGGCGTTAGTACAATTTACGATAATCTTCCGGTCTCGAAAACTAAATCTCGTCATATTACTGCTCGATACGAATTCATTGGTGACAACATCAGGATGTAATGAACACTGTGTATTTGATTTTGGCTTCGAGTAAGGTCTTAATCAAATTGCAATCACGAGGAAGTACAATGTCCCCAAATCTGAACCCTACAAGTCAATTGATAGGAAGAAAATTTTCAGATTGCTTGATGTATATATGTTTTATTATGTAGCATACATCCTCGTGATTGTTAACCAACCTTCGAAAAAAGTTTATGGAAGAAAGTTCACTGGACTGAGAGGGCCTGGGTCCTAAAGACATGAACAAAGAGCCCACTGGGAAGGCAGATTATCATGATACGGGCCCAAAATTCATGGATCAGCCCAGTAAGCCAAGGGCCAAGGTGCCCTTTCTTTCTTCAGTTGCAAGTTTCAACAAGTTGAAAATATGCTGGTTCTGTGTTGGTTGTTCAACAAGTTTTAGCATAATCTTATTCAACAACTCGAGTTATTGGGATGCATCCTGAACACGTGTAACATGTCATAAACGAAAGTCACTCACAAGAACTTGAAGTTTGCACAGGCCTGAACACAAGAATACCAATATACCATGTGCTTCACAAATGGGGGTCACCAGGATTCGAACATAAAACCTCTCGGTTACAGAAGGCTCTGATGCCATGTCAAAAACCAATTGCTCCTAAGTCCTAATGACTCGAATTGTTGGAAGAGGTTCAATTGTGGATAGGGATGACAATTTTGCCCATACCCATGGGCAAAATTACTATCCAACCCAACTGGGTTGGGTATGAAATCCAAATAGATGGGTATGGATAGAGTTTGAAGGGTTTGTACCCATATCCATTTACTTTGGGTTGGGTTGGGTTTATAACAAATGGATTTGGGTTTGTACCCATGTCCAAATATAAATTACAGTTTGGTACATAAACTTAATAGATATGCATATTTAGTACCTAAATTTTATTTTTTTTGCATATAAGTCCTCAAAATATCGATTGAAAATTACGTTTGGGTACCTAAATTTTTTTGGTCTTACATTTTGGTACCTAAATTTTTCAAGTTTTACAAATAGGTCCAATTTTTGCCTGTGTAGTTAAAACACCCTCAAGTAAATGGATATCCATATCCAACCCATACTCATTTAGGTTATGGAAGCAATATTCATACCTTACTCAAACCCATCTACAAACCCCCCAAACCCATATGCACTTCACCCATACCCAACCCATTATCAATGGGTCTACTTGGGTTTGGGTATAATTACCCATGGGTAGGTAATTGCCATTCCTAATTGTGGATCATATACCACACACTAACATAACAGTTGGGTAAAAAACTCTTATCCCAGTAACATTCCACACCCTAACTCCTTGAGTTATGTGCTCGTCTGCACATATTAACAGAATCTTGGTCATGATGTTGTGTTTAGGTCAGCCATTACCCAGAAGGATACAAGCAAGATCGTATAGTTGGGATGGGAATGAATGAAGAAGAGCTCAAATGGAACCCCGTAAGATTCTACCTATTCTTCCTCCTAGTGTTTGTTTGGTTTTCTCTATTTACTGACGAAAGGCTTCCAAAAAAACGTATTTGTTCGTGGATTTCTTCCTCTTTGTTAGGTTCTGACAGAGTACATTGTGCAAGACTTGAATGTGGAACCTAAAAACTCCCGTTCGATGACAATTCCTTCGATTTCATACCTAATGTGGTATATGTCAACTCTACTGTCCTGCACAGTTGTTTGTGGGCCGGGATTGGTTTGGGTTTGCAGGCTGTGGATACGTCTCCGAATCCCGGACGTTCTGATCCAATCTATTGCCCTTGAGCAGACAACAAAAACAGCCATTGGAGCAGAATAAAGAGATAATGAATCCGATTCCAGTAGTCCACTACTTGTCCTTTTCACGAGTGGT